CATCATCAGTATTATTATCATTAAATATATTTTTACTGTTATCATTACCATCATCTCACCCTCTCTCTCTCTTTCTCTCTCTCTCTCTCTCTATATATATATATATATATATGTATATATATATATATATATATATATATATATATATATATATATATATATACATGTACATATATTTATATTTTTATATAAATATAAATACACACACACACACACACACACACACACACACACACATATATATATATATATATGCATATATATGTGTGTGTGTGTGTCTGTGTGTATGTGTGTGTGTGTGTGTGTGCATGTGTGTTTATGTGTTTGTATACATATATATACATTTGTACAATTATACGTATATATACGTGTATATAAATATGTATATACATGTATATTATATGTATGTATATGTATATATAAGTACATACACACACACATATACATACATTATGTGAATAAGCATCTTCTTGCATGCAAACTACTAATCAATCATTCAAAGAAGTATGATGTGGTTACAATGTTTTTTAATGGTCATCTCAGACTAATACCTTCCAATTTCAATGAATTTTCTTGTATCAACCTGCTCAAAGTATGGCTTATGCTGATGCTAAGCAAAGGGAATGTAAAGAGACATAAACCAACATTCATGAACTGAACTGCCCTTTTATTGAAAATAATGAACATTTATTTGAGGAACGAGGACATAAGTTATCAGCCTTACTGTTAGTCTCGAAACTTACAGTAAAGGAAAAAGTGGTATCAATTTTGTTTAGATTTTTTTTACTGTTGGGAGGTATGCAGTTAATGTCGAAACCAAACAGTTGACTTGGTCGGGTAGACATTAAAAGGAAAGGTTAAAACTATGATTTTTTCCAGTTAAAAAAAAAAAAAAAAAAAAAAAAAAAAAAATTCTGTTGTGGAGGACGGGACTTGTATATGTATAATAATAGTAATACTAATAGATAAAGCGAATGCTATATGACTGAATTAGTGTATGTTTGCTTATGAAATGTGTGGTGAATAACATCAAGTATATCTAGCAACATGATTTTCGCCTACAATTAATTAATTTCCGTACATTCAAGAAATAAGAGTTTAACTTTTATAATAATTCCATTCAAATTTCTATTCAGTGAAATACAAAGGCGCTTTTTTGACGCAAAAAAGCTTTAGTTCAGCTCGACTTGCTTCGTCTTGCTGAATTCCTCAAACACAGGCACAACGCTCAGATTGGTATCAGTGCATACAAACAGCCAGTGAGTGATACAGAAATCGTGGGAAAAACCGAAAGGATGCTGTTGGTAATACTTAGGACAGAGAATTTAGCAAGGAGGAAATCTTTCCTCGCCTTGGTTTGATATTTACTTACTAAAAAAGAAAAAAAGAAAGAAAGAAAGAAAAAGAAAGAAAGAGAAAAAAGAAAAAAGACAAGAAAGAGAAAGAACATAGAAAAAAGTAGGCATAAATAGGATGAAGTATACGTCTCTTTTCGGGTAAGTACACTAAATGAAATCAAATGTACCATTTTATTTATTTATTTATAAAACGTAGCTGTTAATGGTAACCTGCAAAGAAAATCGAGTTGGACTTCAATTCAAGTTATATGTAAGTTTATTTTAAGCAAAATTTTAGTATGTGATATTCTTCATTTGATGTCAAATACATACATATATATATATATATATATATTTTACGATTTCTTACCATGACCTCCGTGTCCATATCCTCCATGACCGCCATGCCCTCCATGCCCATAACCTCCGCCGTGACCTTTGCCATATCCTCCGTGCCCGTAGCCTCCGCCATGTCCTTTGCCGTATCCACCATGGCCATGGCCTTTACCGTATCCTCCGTGGCCGTGGCCCTTGCCGTACCCTCCGTGGCCATGGCCCTTGCCGTACCCTCCGTGGCCATGGCCCTTGCCGTACCCTCCGTGGCCATGGCCTTTACCGTATCCACCATGGCCATGGCCCTTGCCGTATCCTCCGTGTCCATAGCCGCCATGCCCTTTCCCATACCCGGGGTCAGGGTCTGCCATTGCCATGGCGACCATCACCAGCACAAGTACTGCTACGAGGGCTACGCGCTGTTGGGAATAAAGATTATTTACGGTTTTCACATCAAAGATTGGGAATAGAGAGTTGGAATTTACTTTTTTTTCCAAATATTTGGAGAAACTAGTCATCCAACACATTTGAACTGAATCTCTAACACACCATCTTAGGAGGGAAGCTGTTCGTGTCAGAACCAGACAGTCACTGGATGACGTGGTCGGGGGTGGACCAGTTCTTATAGTAGACGGGACTGCCATGAAGCAACACCATGAAACTGGCCTGGGAGCTGATCATGGTCCGCTACATCGATAACAAAGACTGTAGAAGGGGACGGTTCATATTTTTTTTTTTTGTAACTTTTTTTTTCGGCTACTGTTGTGGAGGAGGGGACATATCACTAAATTACAGTATTAATGAAATATAAAGTCAGTGACTGAATTAGTGATTTATTATATCTGAAGTACAGAGTAAATAGTGATTGTAGGAGTTATGGTTAATAATACTTACACGTATTCCTGTTAATATGATTATCGCTAACACCTCACATACAATTATGTTGTTTCACGAAGTAACCAATACATTAGAAAGGAACAGTTAAGATTACTCTCTTTTCTTTTCCTTGTCGACCACTGCTGTAGAGGAAGGAGAAAGGTGGTGGGCCGTTTCACTGATAATGTTTATCAATAATATCAAATAAAGCCAGTGCTATATGACTGAATTCGTACATACTTGTCTTTGAAGTGAAGAGTTCGCAGCTCTTTTGAGTAACATATACTGTAAAACACCAGTATGCACAATTATGACTTCTTATTAAATGAAGAATGAATTAAAGTATACAATTTTTATGAAAACAAGCTTGTGTAACGTTGAGACGGAATGCAATTAATCTTTCCTTAGAAGTTATCATTAACACCAGAGAGACATCTCAGTCATGTAAATATATAGATAAAATACGTGATTATATCAAGTGTAACTTATACGAAAAGATATATACTTTATACTATTTGTACCTTACATCCATTTTTTCACACACAAGAGAGAGACTACATTTGCATGTATATTATTATTCTGAATTTCAAAATCAAGATAGGATCTCTCCTCACTCAATCTCTTTTATGTATACAAAAGATTGTCATTTACACACACAATATATATATATATATATATATATATATATATATATATATATATGTATATATATATATTTATATATATGTATATATATATATGGGGATGTACATCTTGAAAAATATAACAGGCATATTTGACAAAATATAACGGAATCTTGGATTTTCCTCTTTGAATTCCCTCAGTTATAAATATGCATTATTAAGTGCCTATGGTTTATTAATGAATTAACATGAAGACTGGAAACCGCGGTACATGTAAATGGTATGCATGATACCCCCAGAAAAGAGGGCATAATTTTCTTCACTGTTTGTGTAAAACATGGGGATTTTAAAATTAAGGTTGTTTGAAAATGATTAATAACTGATGTCTTCGTTACTCAGATTTTTTTTTCTTATTTACAACAACAGGATATGGCAGTGAACGAAAGGTGTGCATGTCTCTTTGCTTTTCTAATACTGGGTAAAATTTGTCCATCTTTAGCAATAGTGATACTTTCTGTATTTCTAAATGCGTTTCCATTTTTCCGATAGCCCAAACAAGATTATGCAAGTAATACTGAATAAAGATGGACGATCTTAGTTTACGATGGCCATTGTATAATCACATCATGCTTCTTTGAATTATTGATAAGAAGCACCAACTGACAAAATGTGATTATTAACTGAAACCTGGAAGTGAATTCAGATTGGTTTACATACAGCTTTCGATATATTCAGGTCCTCGGTAAGGATTGGCAGACTGCTATCCTACAAAATCGTTTAACAACAGAAAACAACAGTTAGCTGACTGTTTACTTATTTCGACTTTGGAACGAACGGCGTGCGGCTCATGGTGGTGCCTTTGTGGGTCAGCATTGAAAGGGTGTTTTTGCACCCATATAATTATATTACATATATATACGTATGTCTTATGTATGTATATATATACACATATGTAAGTATGGACGCAAGCACACACCCATATACACATGTTTATATTTATGTATATATAGGCCCGGCCTGTGTCGAATAATGTTGAATCGCGAACAGTGTGTCAACTATTGCTGAGTCGTCTTAGTCCTTACCCGCCGTGGTGCCCAGCCACAACAGTAACCTCCAGGCGCCAATTGCAACTTTTCGCGCCTGGGCGGGGTGCGAACCGCTGACCCTCGGATGAGAGGCCGACACGTTACCACTGTACTAGCCCGGACTGCGAAGCGGTATGAGTCACTACATATAGCGGTTGACTGCTTACATTGATAGCAAGCTGAGCGTTGGGGCTATTTTTTTGGCGATTTCAGAAACACGAAACAAACCAAAAGACGTATTTATATTCCACGTCGTAAAAACAAAACATAATTATTTTTATAGAAAAAAAAAGAAGATACATCGTCAATGTACATATATTGAATGTGCAGTGTTGACGAAAATCACAACAGAATCTACTTTTTAATTCTTAAGCATTCACTAGCTCAGTTATATAACAATGGCTTTGTCTTTTATTGTTTCTATTATTATGCATTTAAGTGAGAAGTGTCCTCCACAACAGAAAGGATGTTGTTACTAACACTAAGGGCAGAGAATTTAGCGAGGAGAAATCTTTCCTCGCCTTGGTTTGTTATTTACTTACGGAAGGAAAGAAAAAAAGGAAAATGAAAAAAAAGAAAAAAAAAGAAAAAGAAAAAAAAGAAAAAAAATAAACGAAGAAGAAAAGGTAAGACTGTCATGTAGGCATAAAAAGGATGAAGTATACGTCTCTTTTCGGATAAAGTAAACCGAATAAAATCAAGTGTATTGTTTTATTTATAAATTTATATAACATAGTTCTCAGCTATTAATGGTAACCTGCAAAGAAAATCGAATTGGACTTCAGTTCAAGTTATATGGAAGTTTATTTTAAACAAAATTTTAGTATGTGATATATTCTTCATTTGATAAAAAGTCATATTGTTTTACGATTTCTTACCATGACCCCCGTGTCCGTAGCCTCCGTGACCGCCATGTCCATAGCCTCCGCCGTGACCTTTGCCATATCCTCCGTGCCCGTAGCCTCCCCCATGTCCTTTGCCGTATCCTCCATGGCCATGGCCCTTGCCGTACCCTCCGTGGCCATGGCCCTTACCGTACCCTCCGTGGCCATGGCCCTTGCCGTATCCTCCGTGACCATGGCCCTTACCGTATCCACCATGGCCATGGCCTTTGCCGTACCCTCCGTGGCTATGGCCCTTGCCGTACCCTCCGTGGCCATGGCCGCCATGCCCTTTCCCATACCCGGGGTCAGGGTCTGCCATTGCCATGGCGACCATCACCAGCACAAGTACTGCTACGAGGGCTACGCGCTGTTGGGAATAAAGGTAATTTACATTTTCCGTATCAAAGGTTGGCAACAGAGAATTGAGATTTACTTTTTTTTCAAATATTTGGAGAAAATAGCCATCTAGCGTGTATGAACTGAATCTCTGACGCACCATCTTGGAAGGGAAGCTGTTCGTGTCGGAACCAGACAGTCACTGGATGACGTGGTCGGGGGTGGACCAGTTCTTATAGTAGACGGGACTGCCATGAAGCAACACCATGAAACTGGCCTGGGAGCTGATCATGGTTCGCTTCATCGGCAACAAAGACTGCAGAAGGGAACGGTTATTTTTTTATAGTTTTTTTTTTTTTTTTTTTTTGTAACTTTTTCGACTACTGTTGTGGAGGGGACATATCACTAAATGACAGTATTAATGAAAGATAAAGTCAATGTTATATGACTGAATTAGTGATTGATTAAATATGAAGTAAAGAGTAGATTGCAAATGTAGAAGTTATAGTTAATAACAGTTACACGTATTCCTGTTAACATGATTATCACTAACACCTCGCATTCAATTTATGTTGATTTACGAAGTAACAAATACATTAGAAGGGAACAGTTAAGATTATTTCCTTTTTCCACGTTGACCACTGCTGTAGAGGAAGGAGAAAGGTGGTGGGACGTTTCATTAAATGTTTATTAATATCAAATAAAGCCAGTGCTATATGGCTGAATTCGTAATGCTTGTCTGGAGTGATAAATTTGCAGTTCTCGTGAATAACATATAGTGTTAAACACAAGTATGCACTATCATGACTTATTAAATGAAGAATGAATTAAAATAATCTTTATTTACAAGTTATCATTAACACCAGAGAAATACCTCAGTCATGTAAGTATAAAAATAAAACACGTGATTATATTAAGTATACTGTATACGATAATGAATATATGTACTTTAAACCATTTATGCCTTCTGTATAATAAAAAATACTTCCATTTTTACATACAAGAGACTAAAAGCTTACATTTGCATGTATATTCTCTGAATTTCAAAACAAAACAGGATTTTTTTCTTCCTTCACTTCTTTTTGTTCATACAAAAAATTGTCATCTGAAATATATATATATATATATATATATATATATATATATATATATATATATATACACACACACACACATATATACATATATACATACACACGCATATATGAGGGGTGTAAATCTTGAAAAATAGAACTAGCGTATTTGACAAAATATGACATGAATCTTGGAATATTCTCTTTGAATTCTCTCAGTTATATACATATGCATTGTTAAGTGCCAATGGTTCATTAGTGAATTAACCTGAAGACTGAAAACCGCTGTACATGTAAATAGTGTGCATGATGCCTCCAGAGAAGAGTGCATAATTTCAATTACTCTTTGTGTAAAGTACCGGGACAATGCAAAATTAAGGGTGTTTGATTTTTTTTTTTTTTTATTATTATTAACAACAGGATATGACAGTGAGCGAATGGTATGCATGTTCTTTGCTTTTCTAATACTGGGTAAAATTTGCCTATATTTAGCAATAGTGATACTTTCTGTGTTTCTCAAAGCGTTTCTATTTTTCCGGAAGCCTGAGTAAGATTATACAAGTAATACTGAATGAAGATAGACGGTCTTAGTTTACAATGGCCATTGCATAATTACGTCATGCTTCTTCGAATTATTGATAAGAACCACCGACTGACAAAATGTATGTATCAAATGCAACATTTAAGTGAATTCAGATTTGTTGACATACGGCTTTCGATATATTCAGGTCCTGGGTAAGGAATGGTAGACTGATTTCCTTCAAAATCGTTTAACAACAGAAAACAAGAGTTAGCTGACTGTTTACTTCTCTCGACTTTGGAACGAACGAAGTGCATCCGTTTGATGGTGCATTTGTGGGTCAGCATTGAAAGGATGTTTTTGCACCCATATTATTAAATTATATACGTATGTATATATACGATATAAACACACACTTATACTCATATGTATGTACGCAAGCACACATACACGTATGTGTATGTATATTTATATTTATGTATACATATCATATATTGCTATATATACACACATGATGTATATATAGCTTATATACACACATGATGTATATATAGCTTATATACACACATGATGTATATATAGCTTATATACACACATGATGTATATATAGCTTATATACACACATGATGTATATATAGCTTATATACACATATATGTATATTTCTATTTATGTATACATATCATATATTGCTATATATACACACATGATGTATATATAGCTTATATACACATATATGTATATTTCTATTTATGTATACATATCATATATTGCTATATATACACACATGATGTATATATAGCTTATATACACACATGATGTATATATAGCTTATATACACACATGATGTATATATAGCTTATATACACACATGATGTATATATAGCTTATATACACATATATGTATATTTATATTTATGTATACATATCATATATTGCTATATATACACACATGATGTATATATAGCTTATATACACACATGATGTATATATAGCTTATATACACACATGATGTATATATAGCTTATATACACATATATGTATATTTCTATTTATGTATACATATCATATATTGCTATATATACACACATGATGTATATATAGCTTATATACACACATGATGTATATATAGCTTATATACACACATGATGTATATATAGCTTATATACACATATATGTATATTTCTATTTATGTATACATATCATATATTGCTATATATACACACATGATGTATATATAGCTTATATACACATATATGTATATTTCCATTTATGTATACATAACATATATTGTTATATATACACATATGATGTACATATAGCTTATATACACACATGATGTATATATAGCTTATATACACATATATGTATATTTCTATTTATGTATACATATCATATATTGCTATATATACACACATGATGTATATATAGCTTATATACACATATATGTATATTTCTATTTATGTATACATATCATATATTGCTATATATACACACATGATGTATATATAGCTTATATACACACATGATGTATATATAGCTTATATACACACATGATGTATATATAGCTTATATACACACATGATGTATATATAGCTTATATACACACATGATGTATATATAGCTTATATACACACATGATGTATATATAGCTTATATACACACATGATGTATATATAGCTTATATACACACATGATGTATATATAGCTTATATACACACATGATGTATATATAGCTTATATACACACATGATGTATATATAGCTTATATACACACATGATGTATATATAGCTTATATACACACATGATGTATATATAGCTTATATACACACATGATGTATATATAGCTTATATACACACATGATGTATATATAGCTTATATACACACATGATGTATATATAGCTTATATACACACATGATGTATATATAGCTTATATACACACATGATGTATATATAGCTTATATACACACATGATGTATATATAGCTTATATACACATATATGTATATTTCTATTTATGTATACATATCATATATTGCTATATATACACACATGATGTATATATAGCTTATATACACACATGATGTATATATAGCTTATATACACACATGATGTATATATAGCTTATATACACATATATGTATATTTATATTTATGTATACATATCATATATTGCTATATATACACACATGATGTATATATAGCTTATATACACACATGATGTATATATAGCTTATATACACACATGATGTATATATAGCTTATATACACATATATGTATATTTCTATTTATGTATACATAACATATATTGTTATATATACACATATGATGTACATATATACATATATCTACATATATGTCTGACTATACATATTGCCTACATCAAAGCGAAGAAAGATTTCCTCTCTGCTATATTTGCTGTCAAGTATTATCAACAGCATCCTTTCTGTTTTCCTTCGCGATTACTACTGTCACCCACTATGAAGGGGAAAGAGTCATTACATATGGCGATTGACTGCTTATATTGTTAGCAAGCTGAGCATTGAGGCTATTTTTTGGCAATTTCAGCTACACGAAGCAAGCCGAAGGACGCATTTATATTCCACTAAGTAAAAACAGTCAAAAAGTCAAAAACGTTTGTTACATCGTCAATGTACAGATATCGAATGTGCAGTGTTGGCGAAAATCACAACAAATCTACTTTTTACTCCTTAGGCAAACAATCACTTGCTCAGTTATACAACAATGGCTTTATCTATTATTGTTACTATTATTATGCATTTAAGTGAAGTGTCCTCCACAACAGAAAGGATGTTGTTGCTAACACTAAGGGCAGAGAATTTAGCGAGGAGAAAATCTTTCCTCGCCTTGGTTTGTTATTTACTTACGGAAGGAAAAAAAAAAGAACGAAAGAAAGAAAGAAAAAAAAATAAATAAATAAAAAAAAAGAGAAGAAAAGGTAAGACTGTCATGTAGGTATAAAAAGGACGAAGTATACGTCTCTTTTCGGATAAAGTAAACCGAATAAAATCAAGTGTATTATTTTATTTATTTATATAACGTAGTTGTTCTCAGCTATTAATGGTAACCTGCAAAGAAAATCGAGTTGGACTTCAGTTCAAGTTATATGCAAGTTTATTTTAAGCAAAATTTTAGTATGTGATATTCTTCATTTGATAAAAAGTCATATTTTTTAACGTTTTCTTACCGTGACCCCCGTGTCCATAGCCTCCGTGACCACCATGCCCATAACCTCCGCCGTGACCTTTGCCATACCCTCCATGTCCGTAGCCTCCACCATGGCCATGGCCCTTACCGTATCCTCCGTGGCCGTGGCCCTTGCCGTACCCTCCGTGGCCATACCCTCCATGTCCATGGCCCTTACCGTATCCACCATGGCCATGGCCCTTGCCGTACCCTCCGTGGCCATGGCCCTTGCCGTACCCTCCGTGGCCATGGCCCTTGCCGTACCCTCCGTGTCCATGGCCGCCATGCCCTTTCCCATACCCGGGGTCGGGGTCTGCCATTGCCATGGCGACCATCACCAGCACAAGTACTGCTACAAGGGC